ACATCCTTGAAAATACCATTTAAGAACTATATACTGAAGGCGATTTTGGGACTCAACATTAGACAACAAACACTGTTTCATGCCCTAAATCCAATTAATTGTCTTATGTTTTTCTTTCAATAAATTTTGAAATTCAGGGTGAAGATATTTTCTGTTAGTCTGTTAGCATTGATATTGGTTTCTGTGGCAGTGGGAGGTCTCTCATAGTCTCTGATCCCTGTTTGAATCACCTAGGCCTCTCCAGAACAGAACATGCTTTAATTTATAGCTATCTTTAATCATTCAGTCCAGTGATGAATTACTTAGATATAGAATTGTGATTGCGGCACTACAGGAGATTAGATGGAAAGACTCAGATATCCTAAATACAAAGGAATATACAATATTCTACAGTGGAAACAACACAAATACCTTAGGAACAGGGTTTGCAGTCAAAAGAGTGCCAGTAAATGCAGTCATTGGGTTTAAACCAGTGAGTGAAAGATTATGCTCCATAAGGATTAGAGGAAAAATGTTTAAGAGCACGTTAATCTGAGCACATGCCCCAACGGAAGATACAGATGAAAGCATGAAGGAAACTTTCTACGAAACACTGGAAAGAGTATTTGATGAGGCTCCACGACATGATATCAAAATAGTCCTTGGAGATTTCAATGCGAAAATTTGGGAAAGAACTAGTTTACAGACCAACAATCGGAAAGGAAAGTCTGCATGATGAGAGCAATGACAACGGACACGTCTTATAGACTTCGCCTCTGGAAAAGGAATGATAATCAGTAGCACAGTATTCCAACATAAACAAATACATAAAGCAACATGGATATCTCCAGATGGATTGACCCGTAATCAAATAGACCACGTACTCATCGACCGGAGGCATGGCTCGGACATATCAGATGTGTAAAGGGGCGGACATAGACTCGGACCACATGCTTGTTAGAATCAAATATAAGCAAAGAATTTGTAACATCCACAATAACCAAAATAAAAGAGAAAAACAATACGGTACAATAGTCAGAAACTGAGTAGGGACCCAAAAATTACTGAGGAATATCAATAGAAGATTGAAACCCTACAAGAATTATCCAAAAGAGAATCAGCCAGCAACGTTGATATAAACCAGCAATGGGAAAAGATGAAGCAAATAGTCGCAAGTGTAACAGAGGAAACGATTGGATCTAAAATGGCAGTGAAAAGAACAGGATGGTATGACGCAGAATGCAAAGAACTTATAGAACAAAGAAACAAAGCTCGGCTAATGATGCTGCAAAGGGAGACAAGAAGAACACGGCAACTATATAATGAAGCAAGAAGGGTGGCCAGCAAAATTTGCAGAAAGAAAAAACGTGTTTGGGAAAAATAAAAAATAGTAGAGATAGAAGAGTTGGCAAAAGAAAGAGATGTGAGGGGAATGTAACTGAAGATAAAGCAGGAAAAGAATGGCTTTCAAGCAAGATCCCACATGTGTGAAAGCACGGATGGAGAATTGATCACAGAGAGCAGTAGAGTACTAGAGAGATGGGCACAACACTCTGAAGGCTTACTGAATGGCTCTGGTGGAGGAACCAATGAGGATTACGCCCCGCCACAAGGAGGACCGGACCCACTGGTCAACCATCCAACTTTAAATGAAATAAAAGATGTTATCTCCACCATGAAAAATAACAAAGCCCCAGGAATAGACCATATCCCTGCAAAACTCATAAAGCTAGTTGGTAACGAATTGCATTGGCAAATACACGAACTTATTACCAGAATCTGGCAGGAGGAAGAAATGCCAACTGAATGGGACACGGCACTCATAATCCCAATCCACAAAAAGGGATCTAAGTTGATCTGCTCAAACTATAGAGGTATCTCCCTTCTTAATGTAATGTACAAAATCTTCACAAAACCTATAGCCAGAAAATTGGAAAAGTATAGTGAACAGATCCTAGGGGACTATCATGTGGATTCTGGCAGAATAGGTCAACCACGGATCATATTTTTACTATAAGATGTCTCCTGGAGAAAAGCTACGAATATAACACTGACATACACCAACTATATGTGGATTACAAAACAGCATACGATAGCGTAAACAGGAATTACTTATACAATGCTCTACAAGAACTTGGAGTCCCTAACAAGCTTACTCGACTCATACATATGACAATGGCCAACTCCAAAAGTAGAATCAAGTTTCAGGGAGAATACTCTAGGGAGTTCATAGTTAATCAGTGCCTCAGACAAGGAGACTCACTATCATGTATCCTGTTTAACATCACGCTAGAAAAAGTTATTAGAAGCATTCACATTAGCACCAGTGGAACCATAACAAACTATTTCCTGAGAGATACTACAGAGCAACAACCATAAGGAACCTTATATAGCCAACCATTGCAGTACCTGGCCTATGCAGATGATATAGCACTACTGAGTAGAAACCGTAATGACATAATTAAAGCATTCAGGGAACTTGAAAATGCCTCATTCAAAGCTGGCCTTGATATAAATGAACCGAAGACAAAATATATGATAATGTCAAGAAACTCCCATGCTCATAATAACATCAATATAAACAACCACAAATTTGAGAGAGTGGCTACATTCAAATATCTAGGGGCAACTATAAATGAGCACAATGAGATAATGTCAGAGATGAAAGAAAGGATAACAGCAGGCAACCATTCCTATTTCAACCTACAAAAGCTACTGGGAACCAAAAACCTATCAAGGGGAACAAAGAAGACAATATACACCACCATCATAAGACCTGTAGTAACGTACGCTAGTGAGACCTGGACCGTCACCAGAAGAGCAGAGAACCTGCTCAACACATGGGAGAGGAAAATCCTCCACAAAATATATGGACCAGTGATAGAAAATGATATCTGGAGAATATGTACAAACGAAGAACTTTACTATTTGTACAAAGAACCACCTATAGTCACAATGATAAAAAAAAGGCAGAATACGCTGGGTGGGTCATGCTGAAAGGATGCCGGAATGCAGAGCAGCCAAAATTATATACAGGCAGAAGCCTAGGGGCAGTCGACTCATTGGTTGCCCAAGGATGAGGTGGATTGATGATGTGGAGACAGATTTACACCAGTTGGGGGTTCGAGCATGGAGACGGAAAGCCATGGATCGCTCCGAATGGAAGGATGTGGTGGAGCAGGCCAGGGCCCTACATGGGCTGCAGTGCCATTGATGATGATGAATCATTCAGTCACAATGGTACTGCGGTGGTGTATGGCAATAAAAAAGTTTTTTGGTAAAAAAATGTAATAAGGGCAACAAAATGGTATGCATCATACATGAGTCTTCAACACCATTGGTGCGTTATGAAACAAAAATAAAACTAAAACACTTTGAATGGTAAAGAGACCAAAAACAAAATAATATCCCATGTATTCAGCGATGATTCCGTTTACTGGTGACATGAGCATTCGACTCAAAGAATCAACTGTGACAAGTGTGTTGTAGTGCAAGGTCCAACATCTCCTCGGCGACGTGCGTGATAGTTGCATAAGTAATACAGAAGTGCACTGTGAAATGCCTCCGCCGGTGAAGAAGACAAGGGTCAGGAAAAATAGACTGAATACTGTGAAAAGAAGAAATACTTTTTATAGTTTTGCTATGTGCTACGGTAATTAATATAATGAGGAAATAAAAATACAATTCTAAATCAAGTTCATTCACCTGGCTCAATACTGAGATACACTGGAACTAAGAGTTAGGTTTGTTGGGGGGTGTGGGTTGTGTATTGAAACAAATGACAAAAGAAAATGGTTCTATGTTGCTATGTATGTATCTAACAAGAATAATTTTTTGCATGTAAGACATTAGCCATATATTTTAACCATTAAAAGGTGAATAATGTTAATTTTTTTCTGTATTTATCACTGTTGTAGTTTGTTAATAGTATTATTTGAAGAGAATAATTGTAAATGGGTCATTTAGTGTATAACCACTGCATTTATTTTTATATAAAGAATAGGAGCTTTTTAATTTTCCAGAACTTTGTAAAACTGAACTGTATCTGAACATGATAAAAACAAAAAATCACTTAAAAAAAAATTAAATGTAAGATTTTGAAGAATATTAATTTTTTAATCTAGTTTAAAAAAATTGTAGCAATCTGAATTAAGTAATAGATAATAATAATAAAATATTTAAAAAATCCAATTCAATGATTTTATTTTTTTCCAAAATTTAAATATATCATTATTTTCTAATAAAAATGAGGATAATGAACTATCATATTAAAGAATTAAAAAAAAAAAGTTTACAATAAACTATAGTCATAGTCATAGTCTTAATATTCATTTTATGATTACCTAGTGAATATTCAGATGTTTTATAATTATCCCAATAAAGTAACAACAGCCACAGAAATGCCACTGACATAGCACGAACACCAGACAACAGCACCAAAGTCTTCAGCATTGACCTGTACACAAACATAGGGATATGAAACAAGAAAACTATGAGTTTCATAAGACCTAACCTAAATTATATAAATAAAATTATAAGAAAATAATATAATTTAAAAGCTCACACAAAATCAATATTTCCCCCCAATTAAATTTCTATTATTACCCTTAAAGATACTAAATAAATGGGTAATGAAACATTGACTTTTTAAAATATATATCTGAAAAGTAAACTTCTTTTTCACACTTGTAACATATGATGTTTGATGTTTTTTACTGCTAAGTGGAAATCACAACTTCATGTGAGTGTAGTGATACATGAATATCACTACAGAGAATAAGGAACTACTTGAGCTGCCATATTGTGATGGATGAAAAAGATCTATTAAAAAAGAATTACAATGTATGAGTGACTTTACATGTTATTTTCTAAAGAAAAATGGATGTATTATGAACTCTATTTAAAATCTGATATCTGCTCAGGCCATGACAAGTTATAATAGTAACAGAGGTAATATCAGAATAGAGAAAGGTTACAACACTTAATTAGTTTAAGTTTAAATAGGTACCGGTAATTATATATTACCCAGCAGTAAATATTCCTACAGCAGTAGAGCCAATAATTGAAAATACATCGCCGGAAAGGCTTGTCCACATTCCAACATGGGATGCTCCATGACCAATATCTATCAAAAACATTGGGAATGTGCTTGTTACACCACTATCTCCTGTATAAAGTAGAAAATCTGTTAGTGTAAAGTTTAATGTCATCAATAAATCACTAGTTATGAAAACAATCATCAATAAAAGATTGTCATTTAGAATACTTTTTTTTTTATTGATAGTTGCATCAATTAAAATGATTTCCTTGTTGGCTAAAAACCTGCTAAAACACATAAAATCATTGAAAATGAAATGCCTTACTAGGCTTTAACTTTGTATTAGACAAACTGTTATTTTCAAAATATAAAAAAGTCACATTTCATTAGTCTAAGATAAACTTAATGGAAATAGTTAGATAGTTTAGAATTTTACCCCTGATAAACTTAATGGAAATAGTTAGCAAGTTTAGAATTTTAGCCATTATAAACTTAATGGAAATAGTTAGCAAGTTTAGAATTTTACCCATTTTGTAAAAGAAAAGGAAAATTGTCATCCATATGGTACCAGCAGTTTGAAATAATTGAAAGTATTGGCAAGACAAGTGTGTCAACGAGTCTTCTTGATCATTTGATGCCCCATCGCTTGTATAAGATGTATTAGAACCAGATATTGCAAGAGACCCTCTTAAACTTGGAGGGGGCAAAGCATAAGAAATGAAAAATCCTCCAAGATACAGCACAGCCATGATGTAAAACATATTCTTCAAACTGACTGTATCAATCAGAGATGCAAAGAAACCACCAGCAAACATAGACCCAACTCTACCACCAACATTTTGAGCAAAATTTCCAGAAACTAGTGCAGATGGAGTCATAGATTCAAGAATAATTCCATCTAGAGCTATATCTTGAACAGATGTGGTGCAATTAATCAGAAACAAAACCAACACTAAATAAATATTATGTCCAGCGGGCAAATTAGCCGCAATGATACAGAGAAATAACATAATAATTTCACTACCTTTTAGCCAAGAACGTTTATTAAAATGAGTATCCACTATGGTAACTAGCAGTGGTTTAAAAACCCACGGAATCAGCAAACATCTGTAAAAACCTAGATTCACAAGGGACATGCCATTCTTTCGAAAGAAAATTGGCAGAAAACGAGTTTGTAATCCACCTGGTAATGCTTGAACAAGGTACAACAAAAAAAACTTTTCAACAGAGTTTCCAAAGATCTCATATTCCTGTTGGCGTCTTATCATATTTTAAAAAGTGTGTTGCGTAACCAGTAAACTAGACTAGTCGGATTAGTCAAGAACCGTTAATTAAAATTGAATACCGATTATTAAGAAAGATGTCGATAACAAATAACTTAACTGATGACACCATATAAATTTGAGTTAACGGTTGATTAAATGACAGCTACAAATACACTTAAATCCAAAATCGTAGTCATTCATCATTGACAAAGAATTAGTCATTTTAAAGTTAAAGCGGGCTTTCACTAAGGAAAATAAATTCTAAAAATATTTGGTTAAAAGGTAAAAGCCTTCTAAAAAGGGTAGGCAAAAGTAATTGTTCTTAAAAAAAACTATTTTCGGAATAGCTTCCCTTTGAATGGGAGACAATTAATAATTTTTAATGAGAGTAGTCTAACGTTTTCTTCTAGCTTCCAGTGAAACGTGATGTTGCCAACTGCCAATGTATTGAGTTTCAGTTAGTACCTGAATTATCATTACAAGACAAGAGTCAGAATGCTATAAAATGAAAAAGGTAAATTTTAGAGGTAAATGACGTGATGGCAACATCTCTCCAAATTAGCCTGGGATTTAATTTAGGCAGCCTCAAAATTATTTAATGTATGAGTATGAGCCCTCCTACTGCCTACTTATTATTATTATTATTATTAGACTTAGACCCTTGCCCTTACACTTACAGACCCTTACTTTTTTAAGTTCTTAATTCTTATACAATTGAAAATAGTATTAGTAGGGCTAGGAAGCCCCTACTAATACTATTTTCAATTTTATACACTCTCATGTGCATGTAATTTGAATAAATTAGGAGTCCTTTTGGCCCATAATTAAGGTTTGATTCCGCCCATTAACGTTAGGAGAAATGTTGAACTACATTTCCATTGAGTTAATTTGTTCTTTATCTCAACTTTAAGTGAGGAAAATCGTATGTCAATATAAGGCATCTTTGCATTAAAAAATTCTGTCTAAATATTCAAAGTAGGTCTTTCATATTAAAAGTAGGCCTGCATAATTTGTTGAAGTACACGTGTGAAAAATTTCATTGAGATAGCTCATGAAACATTTTCACAATTCTCCTCAACGTTGACCTCATAGTCATTATGCAAAGGTCGTACAGGCCATTTTGGATTAGTGATCCTGTCCCCTTTTAAATGGCGGAAAACGCGATACTTAGATTAGGAAATATTCATTATTATCTCTATATACATCAAAATATTTGATAACTTGTGTTTCAGAATGCATTTTGAAAACATTTAAACTAGAATTTTTAAATTTGAGCTTTAAAAACCCGGTAGAGTCCATATTATTAGCGATCAGAATTGACAGTGTACAAAAAGTCATGGGGAAACCACAGCCATTTTCATTTGCATAATGCTATACCGTAGTACTACCGACTACATCAAGTTTCATTCATAAGAGTTTGCCGTGTGCAAAAACTAATAATACCATTGGTCATGGAAAGCTTTAGTTAATTAGTCATGTGCCAAAGTTGAAAGTTCAAAATAAATAGATACCAAACAACATTTTAGGGGGTGCGTTGCCTTATCTAGACTATATAGCATTTACCGGTATAATGGACGCTGAAGATTTGGTAAACAGAAAAGCCATATATTAATACATTACATTAAATTTACTGATATAAATAGTGCATAGTTAGATAAGCTACAATTTATCTATAATTGTTAACATTATTAAACTTATTTTTTTAATACAGCATTAGTTCTGAAAATAAAATTATCATTAAAACAAGAGTTATATAGCTCGTGACGCGAACAGCAGAATTGGGTACCAGAAAATGGAGATGCGGTCCAAGTTAAAAAAGGACAAATTAAGTCGTACTTTAAAAATTCATAACTTTAAAACTACAACAGCTAAAAATATGATTCTGGTGTTATAATTCTTAAAAAATTTAACTTTATCCAACTATGCCATTGGTTTATTTTTACAAAAAGTTTTAATTTTTTAATCAAAGTACCTAATATACACTTTTTACTAATATACACTTGCACTACTATGACACTAGTGACTAACCGACACTTCTAGTTCTAGTTAAAAGTTCTACTAATGCTAATACTTCCACTACTAGAATATTTATTGTTCAGCCACTCATTACTAATGAACTTACTGGTTACTGATAGATTTAACTGCTGCTACAAACTTAAAATATAAAAAAAATATAATTCAAGTTCAAGCATTTGATATACTGATACTTCCTAAGCACGGGCAATAATTTATTATCCACGGAATGGTCTAATACAGTGGTTATCAACCTTCCTAATGCTTTGACCCTTAAATACAGTTCCTCATGTTGTGAGGACCCCCAACCACAATGTTATTTTCTTTGCTACTTCATAACTGTAGACTATATGTAGGGTCCTGAAGGTCTCGCGCGCACGCGTTTTTGCGCATACTGAAAAGTAATGCAAAACTTGTGCGGCCATTTTAACATTCGTCTCAGTGATTATCTCGTTTTTTTGTGTTTTAAGTCACAGATTTCTAATAATAAATTATTTTGTCATCAGTGATGTAGAGCACATATTTTTCCAAACACGGCGATATCATTTTTGCAGAATTGTGTATTTTGTAAGTGGCAAATGATTTATTTTAATGGATCGATATTTACTTAATAGTATTACTTTTGAATGCAAACTCGCAAAGCACAGAGCTTTACCGTCCAAGAGGAATAACTTAATTTCTTTAATAATAGCAATAGCTGAGAATAGTTAGAGAGAGTTTTTGAAAATTGACTTTTTCACCAGTTATCCCCCCTCAAATAAAAAAATTGGGTTGTCGGAAATGGCTCTCGTCATTAATACCTTAATATGAAGGTATGAAAAAGATGACTATTAATATTCATCTTCAAAAATCCGTGGAACACTTATCAGTTAATTAATGGGAAACAGTTTTATAATAATATTATTAGAGATTATTGCAAACCAGTAAATCAAAGAGTTTTTATTCATTTTAGTTTGTGTGGTCTGTTGAATTTCTGACCAGTTTTGTCCCTTGATTTACATAAAACTATTGTACAATAATATGTATAATATCAATTTAAGTATAGAAATTTTATGAGAGAATGCCTAACAATTTATCCGGTCTTCTTTATTGAATCAATAATAGTTAAATAATCTTAATAATAAATGTTATTCTCTAATTAGTGACATTACTCCTATAAAAGAATATATTATAGTGTATATTTTAATAGGCCTATGCCTAATAATAATAAATGCTGATACTAACATATTATTACTAATAAACTAATAATTTAACATCACATTAATCTGCGCACATGCTCCAACAGAAGATATAGATGAAAGCATAAAGGAAACTTACTACGAAACACTGGAAAGAGTATTTGATGAGGCTCCACGCCATGATATCAAAATAGTCCTTGGCGATTTCAATGCGAAAATTGGGAAAGAACTAGTTTACAGACCAACAATCGGAAAGGAAAGTATGCATGATGAGAGCAATGACAACGGAACACATCTTATAGACCTCACTACTGGAAAAGGAATGATAATCAGTAGCACAGTATTCCAACATAAACAAATACATAAAGCGACATGCATATCTCCAGATGGATTTACCCGTAATCAAATAGACCACGTACTCATCGACCGGAGGCATGGCTCGGACATATCAGATGTGTAAAGGGGCGGACATAGACTCGGACCACATGCTTGTTAGAATCAAATATAAGCAAAGAATTTGTAACATCCACAATAACCAAAATAAAAGAGAAAAACAGTACAATAGTCAGAAACTGAGTAGGGACCCAAAAATTACTGAGGAATATCAACAGAAGATTGAAACCCTACTAGAATTATCCAAAAGAGAATCAGCCAGAAACGTTGATATAAAACCAGCAATGGGAAAAGATGAAGCAAATAGTCACAAGTGTAACAGAGGAAACGATTGGATTTAAAATGGCAGTGAAAAGAACAGGATGGTATGACGCAGAATGCAAAGAACTTCTAGAACAAAGAAACAAAGCTCGGCTAATGATGCTGCAAAGGGAGACAAGAAGAACACGGCAACTATATAATGAAGCAAGAAGGGTGGCCAGCAAAATTTGCAGAAAGAAAAAATGTGTTTGAGAAAAATAAAAAATAGTAGAGATAGAAGAGTTGGCAAAAGAAAGAGATGTGAGGGGAATGTACCTGAAGATAAAGCAGGAAAAGAATGGATTTCAAGCAAGATCCCACATGTGTGAAAGCACGGATGGAGAATTGATCACAGAGAGCAGTAGAGTTCTAGAGAGATGGGCACAACACTTTGAAGGCTTACTGAATGGCTCTGGTGGAGGAACCAATGAGGATTACGCTCCGATACGAGGACCGGACCCACTGGTCAACCAACCAACATTAAATAAAATCAAAGATGTAATCTCCACCATGAAAAATAACAAAGCCCCAGGAATAGACCATATCCCTGCAGAACTCATAAAGCTAGTTGGTAACGAATTGCATTGGCAAATACACAAACTTATTACCAGAATCTGGCAGGAGGAAGAAATGCCAACTGAATGGGACACGGCACTCATAATCCCAATCCACAAAAAAGGATCTAAGTTGATCTGCTCAAACTATAGAGGTATCTCCCTTCTTAATATAATTGTGGTGATCTGACTAATGACCTATTAGTGAGGAGTATCTCTCGTATGAGATCTCCTCTTGGCACTCTGTCTAGGGATTTGTTATTTAAGCCAAATTACCACACAGACATAACATCTATCTATATACATATTGTATAGACTAAAATGAAGTCTTAGTTAAAGGTGAAATTAACTACAAATATTCATGACAATGGCCAATTCCAAAAGTAGAATCAAGGTTCAGGGAGAATACTCTAGGGAGTTCATAGTTAATCAGTGCCTCAGACAAGGAGACTCACTATCATGTATCCTGTTTAACATCACTGTAACACACTTCTACTCTGACATGGCG